TGGATATTATTTAGAATGTGTGGGAGGATATGCATATGTTGTTATATGCAAATACTATATTGTTTTATATAAGGGACTTGAGCATCTGTGGATTTTGGTATTCTCAAAGGGTCCTGGAACCAATTCCCCACAGATGCTGAGGGATGACTATATTCAAAGTGCTGAAGGAGAAAACAAGAATGCCTGGAAGCCGTCCTTCAGAAATGAAGGAGCAATAAAGGCTTTCTCAGATAAGCAAAAGCTGAGGGAGTTCATCACCACCAAACTTGTCTTATGAAAAAGGCTGAACAGAGTTCTTCAAGCTGAGAGAAGAGGATGCTAATTAGTAAACATTAAAACATATAAAAGTATAAAACTCACTGGTAAAAGTGTACACAGTCAAATTCAGAATAATATTGTAATGGTGGCAAGTTACTTATATCTTTAGCATGAAGGTTAGGCAAAACTATTTAAAAATACTAATAGTGCTGGGTGCAGTGGCTCACGCCTGTCATCCTAGCACTTTGGAAGGCTGAGGCAAGTGGATCACTTGAGGTCAGGAGTTCAAGACCAGCCTGGCCAACATGGTAAAACCCCGTTTCTACCAAAAAGTACAAAAATTAGCTGGGTGTGGTGGCACATGCCTGTAGTCCCAGCTATTCAGAAGGCTGAGGTAGGAGAATCACTTGAACCTGGGAGGCAGAGGTTGCAGTGAGCCAGTGTTGCGCCACTGAACTCCAGGCTGGGCAACAGAATGAGACCTTGTCTTGGAAAAAAAATAATAATAATAGCTATAATAGTTGCTTAAGGATACACAATATAAAAAGATGTAAATGTTGATAGTAAAAACAAAATATGAGGGGCGAGTAGAGTAAAAGTACTGAGATTTTTTATGCACTCAAAGTTGTTATCAGTTTAAAATGGCCTGTTATAACTATAAGATGTTCTGTGTAAGCCTTATGGTAACCACAAAACAGAAGCCTATAGTAGATTCACAAAAAACAAAAAGTAAGGAATCAAAACCTAACACTAGAGAAAATAAATCACAAAGGAAGATAGCAAGAGAAGAAGGAAAAAAGGATCCACAAAACAATCAGAAAACTAACAAAATGGCAGTAGTAAGTCATTACCTATCAATAATTACTTTGAATGTAAATGGATTAAATTCTCTAATCAGAAAGCATAGAATGGTTGAATGAATTTAAAAAACAAGACCCAACTATATGTTGCCTACAAGACACTCACTTCACCATTAAGGACACACATAGATTGAAAGTAAAAGGATGGCAAAACATATTCCATGCAAATAGAAATCAAAAGAAAGCAGGGGTAACTATTCTTATATCAGATAAAATAGACTTTAAGTCAAAATCTGTAAAATGAGACAAGGTCATTATATAAAGATAAAGAGGTCAGTTCATCAAGAGACTATAGCAATTATACATATACATGCGCCAACACTGGAACACCTAAGTATATTAAACAAATATTAAAGGACCTGAAGGGAGAGATAGATTGCAACACAATAATAGTAGGGGACTTTGATACCCAACTTTAAGCAATGGACATTTCATCCAGACAAAAAAAAAATCAATAAGGAAGCATTGGACTTAAACTATACTTTACATCAAATGGACCTAATAGACATATACAGAACATTGCATCCAGCAACAACATCATATACATTCTTCTCTAGCACACATGGAATATTCTCCAGGATAAATCATGTTAGGGCCAGGTGCGGTGGCTCATGCCTGTAATCCCAGCACTTTGGGAGGTCAAGGCAGGTGGATCACAAGGTCAAAAGATCGAGACCAAGCTGGCCAACAAGATGAAACCCTATCTCTACTAAAAATACAAAAAAATAAGGCAGGCGTGGTGGCACCCACCTGTAGTCCCAAGTTACTCGGGAGGCTGAGGCAGGAGACTCGCTTGAACCTGGGAGTTGGAGGTTGCAGTGAGCCTGGGAGTTGGAGGTTGCCGTGAGCCAAGATCGTGCCACTGCACTCCAACCTGGCAACAGAATGAGACTCCATCTCAAAAAAATATATGTATATGTTTAGGCACAAAACAAGTCTAAATAAATTTAAATGAGTTTAAGAAGATTGAAATCATATCAAATATCTTTTCTACCCACCAAAGTACGAAACTAGAAGTTAAGAACTGAAGGAATTTTAGAAAATTTCCAAATACATGGAAATTAAACAACGTGCTTCTAAACAATAGGTCAAGAAGTTAAAAGGGAACTTTTAAAATATCTTGAGACAAAAATAGAATACAAAATACCAAAACTTATGGAATGCACCAAAAGCAGTGCTAAGAGATGAGTTTGTAGCAATAAACATCTATGTCAAAAAAAGAAAAAAGGCCCATTGGCTCATGCCTGTAATCCCAGTGCTTTGGTAGGCTTAGACAGGAGGACCACTTGAGCCTGAGTTTGAGGTTGCAATGAGCTATCATCATGCCATTGTGCTCCAGCCTGGGCAGAAAAATACCCCATCTCTAAAAATAAAATAAGAATTGGAGACTAATGTGAGTAATAATAAAACTCCAGTCCAGCTGGGTGCAGCAGCTCACACCTGTAATCCCAGAATTTTGGGCGGCCAAGGCAGGTGGATCACCTGAGATCAGGAGTTCGAGACCAGCCTGGCCAATGTGGTGAAACCCTGTCTCTACTAAAAATACAAAAATTAGCTGGGCATGGTAGCATGCACCTGTAATCCCAGCTACTCAGGAGGCTGAGGCAGGAGAATTACTTTAACCCGGTGGCAGAGGTTGCAGTGAGATGATATCGCACCACTGCTCTCCAGCCTGTGCAACAGAGTAAGACTCCATCTCAAAAAAATAAAAATAAACAAAAAATAAAACTCCAGTCCCTTGCAAAAAAAAAAAAGAATTTACAACCTTCTCATCAAGTAAATATTGGGACATATTCAGGGATGTCCAACCAATACTGGATATTTTTGCTGTAGAGACAATTCTCAAGTCTAAAACTCTATGTCAGATTAAAACAAAACAAAAACAAACTCAGAACAATCTCCAAGTGGAAATTTGATTTAAGAACAAATTTCATTTCTGCTGTGAGACTCATTATTGGAGAATATTTGTAGTCTCTATTTCTGAAGCCAACTTTATTTTCAAAGCCAGAATTATAGTAGAAAGCAAATATTCCTAGTAGTAGTTTTTTAGTAGAAGATACCTTATCCTCAAATAACTTATAGTTTAAAGAGTTTCTGTTTCTCTCATACTTCATCTTGTTGGGAGCTATCAGCGTTCAGGGTTTGGATTTTTTCTTCTGGAAACCTACTAATTAAAAAAAGGATGCAGGGCTAGGACACTGCACTGTGTTAGAGATTTTATTATTGAGCCATCTCCAAAGAATGTTGGACCAAGATTCAAGTTTAGCAGAGCTAATACATAAATGGAGTTGAGCAAACAGGAGAATGGAGAACACATCAGTGCCCTGTTTGAAAATATCAATCCCTTACCTGGTAGGCCTGATGATTTTTAATGGAGACGAGATTGTGGATTTTTTGTGGCAAGAATTGTCTAGTTTAATGTTCAAGAATTATCAGCACCGAAGACAGATCAAAAGGTCCGTATTTGTCCTCCCTGTAAATGCCTTGTCCTGGGAGGGTGTTAATATGCCCAATTTGGCAATGAATTTATGGATTTTTATGATGAATATCCATATTTCCAACCCAAGCAGGTGCTCTGGAGCAGTACTGTCTGAGTGCACAGAATGCAGCAGCAGTAGCAGCAGCAAAGACCTGTCCCAGTCACTCAGGGCTCATTTGTATGGATGCACCGATGCTGTGGGAGCTGTGTACATCAAAGCCACTGCAGTCCCCATCACAGAGCCTCACTGAGAAAAGGATTGTTCTGCAGCTTTTCTTTCCCATCGGAGTTCCACTCCATAATCTAATGCCCTTTAGCTGGAGAGGGTCTGGGAGAAAGGGAGCTGAATGTGCAAAGCAAAGAACAATTTGAGTACAGTGCTCAAAAATAATTGGCAGCTTCGGGTAAAATAAAGTTCTACAATGGTAAAAATCACAGCATCTTAACTCTGGCAGAGACCTTTACAGGTCATACAGTCCGTCTTCCCTTGCCTGTTTTCAAAACTTAAACCATTCCAATTGGATAAGAACTAATTGTTCATTTTAGGACTTCCAGAAATAAAATTGCAGAGCTGTCTTTGAAATCTGTTCCAGATATATAGTACCTCTTTCACTGTAAGTTCATTTTTAAGTTAACCCAAATCCATCATGTTCCACTTAAAACTGGTTTTTGTTTGTTCAGTCATCTATAGAGATGTATAATGACTAGTCAGTGTCCTTTATGGAAAGGTCATTGAAGATCAGCCATAGTTAAATTACCACTTCAACTGTCTTTTCAGTGGCTAAAATCTATCAAATTCCTTAAACAGTTTTTCTATGGTCAGTTTTTTTTAGTATCTTACCTGTTATTATTACCTTCTCCTTCATTTTCCATGCCCATCTTTGGTTGTAAAGCTTAAACTGGACCCAGTGCTGTAGAAATATCTGATGAGTACTTAGTAGAGTGAAAAACTCACCTCGTGTTTCCTAAATACTTGTAGTTTTTGCTTTGCACACTAGTGTGAGACCAAAAATTACCATGCTAACTGACTATATGATCTTAATAATCAATGAGAAAATTTATGATACATAAATGTGTGTCAAAACATTTGAAATTCTATTGCTATTGGTTATAGATGTATAGAGAAATGAAAAAAACAGTAAAACTAATATTAGTAAGCTGTAATTTAAAACATTATAAATAATGAGGAATGAAGTTTTATTTATAGGCATACCTCAGAGACATTGCAGGTTTGATTCCAGACCATTGCAATAAAGCAAGTATCACAAAAAAGCAAAGTCAGACAAATATTTTGGTTTCCCAGTGCATATCAAACTTATGTTTCTGCTGAGACCATGTCCACCCTGCGAGCACAGAGCCTCGCCCTCGCCGCTCCGCCTCCCATCCACACCTGCCGCCAGCTCACCACTGATGATGATATCACCGTGCTTGTTGACAACGGCTCCAGCATGTGCAAGGCCGGCTTTGCAAGTGACGATGCCCATCCTGGGCCACCTTCCCCTCCATCGTGGGGCACCCCAGGCACCAGGGTGTGATTGTGGGCATGGGTCAGAAGGACTCACGTGGGTGATGAGGCCCAGATCAAGAGAGGCATCCTGACCCTGAAGTACCCCATTCGAGCAGGACATCGTCACCACCTGGGACGACATGGAGAAGATCTGGCACCACACCTTCTACAACGAGCTGTGTGTGGCTGCCAAGGAGCACCCCATGCTGCTGACCAAGGCCCCCTGAACCCTAAGGCCAACCGCAAGAAGATGACCCAGATCATGTTTGAGATCTTCAACACACCAGTCATGTACGTAGCCATCCAGGCCGTGCTGCCCCTGTACACCTCTGGCCATACCATTGACATCGTGATGGACTCCAGTGACGGGGTCACCCACACTGTGCCCATCTACAAGGAGTATGCCCTCCCCTACGCCATCTTGCATGTGGACCTGGCTGGCCCGGACCTGATTGACTACCTTATGAAGATCCTCACCTAGCACAGCTACATCTTCACTGCCACAGCCAAGTGAGAAATGGTGCATGACATCAAGGAGAGGCTGTGCTATGTCACCCTGGACTTCGAGCAGGAGAGGGCCATGGTGGCCTCCAGCTCCTCCCTGGAGATAGCTACAAGCTGCCCGATGGCCAGGTCATCACCATCGGCAACAAGCAGTTCCGCTGCCCCGAGGTGCTCTTCCAGCCTTCCTTCCTGGGCATGGAATCCTGTGGCATCCATGAAACTACCTTCAACTCCATCATGAAGTGTGATGTGGACATTCTCAAGGACCTGTATGCCAACACAGTGCTGTCTGGCGGCACCACCATGTACCCTGGCATCGCTGATAGGATGCAGAAGATCACCGCCCTGGTGCCCAGCATGATGTACATCAAGAGTATTGCTCCTGCCAAGCGCAGGTACTCCATGTGAATCGGCAGCTCCGTCCTGGCCCAGCTGTCCACCGTCCGGCAGATGTGGCTCAGGAAGCAGGAATACAACAAGTCAGACACCTCCATCGTCCACCGCAAATGCTTCTAGGTAGACTGTGATGTAGTTGCGTTACACCCTTTCTTGACAAAACCTAACTTGCGCAGAAAATAAGATGTGCAGAAAACAAGATGAGATTGGCATGACTTTTTTTATTTTGTTTTGTTTTGTTTGGCTTGACTCAGGATTTAAAAACTGGAATGGTGAAGGTGACAGCAGTTGGTTGGAGCAAGCATCCCCCAAAGTTCTACAATGTGGCGAGAGACTTTGATTGTACATTTTTTTTAATAGTCATTCCAAATATGGTGAGATGCATTGTTACAGGAAGTCCCTTGCCCTCCTAAAAGCCACCCCACTTCTCTCTAAGGAGAATGGCCCAGTCCTCTCCCATGTCCACACAGGGGAGGTGATAGCACTGCTTTCGTGTAAATTATGTAATGCAACATTTTTTAAATCTTCGCCTTAGTACTTCGTTATTTTGTTTTATTTTGAATGCTCGGCCTTCGTGGCCCTCCTTTTTTGTCCCCCAACTTGAGATATATGAAGGCTTTTGGTCTCCCTGGGAGTGGGTGGAGGTAGCCAGGGCATACCCATACACTGACTTGAGACCAGTTGAATAAAAGTGCATGCCTTAAAAAAAAACACTTATGTTTCCACTATATTGTAGTCTGTTCAGTGTGCAGTAGCATATGTCTTAAAAAACAACACACATACCTTCCTTAAAAAATGCTTTGTTGCTTAAAAAAAAATGCTAATGACCATCTGAGCTTTCAGTGAGTAGTAATCTTTTTGCTGTAAAAGGGTCTTGCCTCAATGCTGGGGACCTTGCTCTGCATTAGGTTTTGGCTTAAGGGAATGTTGTGGCTAGTTAGATCTTCTGTCTCAGGGATCCTCAACCCCCAGGTGGCAGACCAAGCCACACAGCAGGAGGTGAGTGGTGGGTGAGCAAGACAAGCTTCATCTGTATTTACAACTGCTCCCCATCACTTGTATTGCCATCTGAGCTACGCCTCCTGTCAGATCACTGGCAGCATTAGATTCTCATAGGAGCACGAACCCCACTGTGAACTGTGCACATGAAGGATCTGGATTGCATGCTCCTTATGAGAATAATGCTTGATGATCTGTCACCCCCAGATGGGACTGTGTAATTGCAGGAAAACAAGCTCAGGGCTCCCACTGATTCTACATTATGGTGAATTTATAATTATTTCATTATATATTACAATGTAATAATAGGCTGGGCATGGTGGTTCACACCTGTAATCCCAGCACGTTGGGAGGCCGAGGCAGGTGGGATCGCTTGAGGTCAGGAGTTTGAGACTAGCCTTGCCAACACAGTGAAACCCCATGGCTACTAAAAATACAAAGATTAGCCAGGCATGGTGGTGTATGCCTAGAGTCCCAGCTACTTGGGAGGCTGAGGCAGGAGAATTGCTTGAACCCGGGAGGCTGAGGTTACAGTGAGCCAAGATCACACCACTGCACTCTAGCTTGGGCAACAGAGCAAGACTCCATCTCAAAAAAAGAAAAAAATGTAATAATAGAAATAAAGTGCCCAATAACTGTAATGTGCTGGAATCATCCCGAACCCCCCTGCAACCTGGTCCGTGGAAAAATTGTCTTCCACAAAACTGGTCCCTGGTGCCAAAAAGGTTGAGGACCGCTGTTCTATCTAGACCATTAAAACTTTCTCCATATTGGCAAGAAGGCTCTCTCACTTTTCCATTCATGTGTTCTCTGGAGTAGCACTTTGAATATCCATCAAGAATTTTTTCTCTGCATTCACAACTTGGCTAACTGGCACAAGATGCCTAGCTTTTGGCCTTTCAACATGTTTTTCTCATTAAGCTTAATCATTTCTAGGTTTTGCTTTAAAGTTAAGAGACATGTGACTCTTCCTTTCACTTAAACACTTAAAGAGGCCATTTTAGGGTTATTAATTGGCCTAATTTCCATATTGTGGTATCTGGAGGAATAGGGAAACCTGAAGAGAGGGAGAAAAATGGAGGAATACCCTGTCAGTGGAGCTGTTAGGACACACACATTTATGGGTTATGTTCACTGTCTTCTATGCGTGTGGTTCATGACACCCCAAAACAATTGGAATAGTAACATCAAAGATCACTGATCACAGATTAACATAACAGATATCATGAAAAAGTTGGAAATATTGTGAGAATTAACAAAATGTGACAGACACACAAAATGAGCACGTGCTGTTGGAAAAATGGTGCTGAAAGACTCAGTGTAGGGTTGCCACAAACCTTCGATTTATTTAAAAAAAAAAAAAAAACCCACAATATCTACAAAGCACAATAAAGCGAAGCACAATAAAACCAGGTGTGTCCGTATTTATAAAAAAAAAAAAAATCCCAAGTAATTTGAATCGTGCTTGCCTCCTTTTTGTCATATGGTTTATGATACTGAGAAAACACCTTTTCTGTGCCTTGGTGAGTTGTCATCATACTCCCTTCTAAGTTTGAATGAGCTTCCAATATTTTACACTTTGTGCTTTCAGTGTCATGAAATATCTGCAAGAGTTTCTTTAATGTGAAGTTTTTGCCAGCATCACTTCTTCTGGGACATCTTCATACCTTTTGTCCCAACCACTTTCCTCATTTACATAGATCAGTTTTCCTTCACTAAGTTCCTCTGGTGCATATCTAGAGTCCCTTATATAGCAGCAATGTCAATAATCTCACAGTTAGCTATTTCTTCTATAACCCTATGTACTTTACCGTTACCACTTTTTGTTACTTTGCTGCATTTTCATCTTTGTTAGCCAGTTCCCTCTTTCAGTTATCTGTTTTTGGGTTTCATCATTGGAAGACAAGGAGGCAACCCCACTGCACACTTTGTTGTTTGTGCATTAACTGAATAACAGATGCACAGTTACTAGTCACCAACAGACTGTGAAAGAAGTGACGTGATTTGTCACTGATCATGATACACATCTGTTATTTATGTTGTGAACTGAAGAGCTAGCAATCAAGTTTGTACTTCATTTAATTACTCACAGTTAATAAACCATGGCAACTGAAATTTCAACCCTATGGTTTGGGGACTGACATTCTTTCATTTTAGAACCATGCAAAGCAAGGACAACCTCAGTCAATTCCTACATTCCTTCAGGCCCACTGCTAATGTTCTGATTCCTGGTCAGTTATCTACTCTGACATTCAGATCTTTTGCTGATATATATAGCCTTACTAACTTCATCTTAGTGAACTTTTTCTTTCTTCTCCAGGGCAGTACATTTGATCTTTCCTCTCTGACATTTATGCTCTTGGCTTCTGACCACTCTCCTTCAATCTCTAAATTTGTTTGAAATACTGATTTGCCCTGCTAGCTTGTGATCATTGGCAAATTAAATAGAGATTTTTCCATTCATTAATGTGAATACTGATTACCCCACAGAATGTCAGTTCCTGAATACTAGCACAGGTTCAGCCAGCCAGCTCATCCTTATCCTTTGGTCATACTGCCCAGTCAGTTGTGTAAGGAACTCTGTAAAGGTCCTGGGTGGGGCCTCAGAATCTATATATTTAAATGCTTTCCATATTATAGCTAAGTTTGATTTATAATATAAACTATGCTTTCCTAGTTCTTAGTAATTTTACTGTAGACTGATAGAAGTTTAGATCTGACAAATATACTAGAGATTGTTTTGTCAAATCTACTCATTTTATAAGTGAGAGAACTAAGGCCAGAGTTGCCAGATGACTTGCCCATGGCAAGTAACCGGGGTTACAGGCAGAGTAGGAACTAGAACTGATGGTTCCAAATGCCAAATCTTTTTCTTTTCTTTTTTTTTTTTTGAGACGGAGTCTCACTCTGTCACCCAGGCTGGAGTGCAGTGGCACGATCTTGGCTCACTGCAAGCTCCACCTCCTGGGTTCACGCCATTCTCCTGCCTCAGCCTCCCGAGTAGCTGGGACTATAGGCAGCCGCCACCACGCCCGGCCAATTTTTTGTATTTTTAGTAGAGACGGGGTTTCACCGTGTTAGCCAGGATGAAATCTCCTGACCTCATGATCTGCCCGCCTCGGCCTCCCAAAGTGCTGGGATTACAGGTGTGAGCCACTGCGACTGACCTTTTTTTTTTTTTTTTTTCCTAGACAGAGTTGTTCTGTCATCCAGGTTGGGGTGCAATGGCGCGATCTCGGCTCACTGCAGCCTTCGCCTCCCAGGTTCAAGCGATTCTCCCACCTCAGCCTCCCAAGTAGCTGGGATTACAGGTGTATGCCACCATGTCCGGCTAATTTGTGTATTTTTGGTAGAGACAGGATTTCAGCGTATTGGCCAGGCTAGTCTTGAACTCCTGACCTCAAGTGATCTGCCCACCTCAGCCTCCCAAGGTGTTGGGATTACAGGCGTGAGCCACTGCGCCCACCCCAAACTCCCAGTCTTTCACCCTAATTTCCATCCTGTGGGACACAATCAAAGTCATTGATCATCATCTTTTTCAAACTCTCCTGTGGTGATTTTTTTCTATGTGTATCTGTGGAATAATATCTGAAGAGAGATGCTCAAGTGGGTTTCTCTGTAGTGAATGGGAAAGCAGTTGTGGCAAGGATTGTTGAGGTAGTAGGAGCTATGGAGGCCTGGAGCAGCTCTGGAGGCCTTAATCCAGTCCTGCTCCAGTGCTTACCCTCTGCCTGCTCTGTGCCTGCCCACTGGTGCCTAAGCTGCTGTCCACTGGGGGCTTAGGTATCTGTTTGACTTGTGCACATAGTGCTTGTTTCTGGAGGCAGTGTATAGAGAAGATGGGAACGTGGGGTTGTGTGGGGGTTGAATATACTATTCTGTAAAGCTTTTTCTATTTCCGTAAGATATTTTCACAACTGAAGACTCTGGCCTTCACGTTTGCTGACAGAGAGAAATGAGTCTGTCTGTAGTTCTGAGAGACGCACTAAGGAGTAGAGCGTCATCCCTTTGATATGTTGTGTGAGTTCATGAAAAATGAATGGGGAATGTTGAATAGTATGAATAATAGCAACAGTTAATGCTTACATACCTATTCTGTCTTGAAGAAAAACAAAAACAGA